ACGAATCATGATACTGTTTTCCACCAGCCATAGATGAGAGTCGACATCTCTCCACATCCTCGCCAGCATCTCTTATTATCTGTGTTGCTGGACTTTGCTGTTAGTGCTGGGGTGAGATGATATCTCATTGTTGTTTTGATCTGCATTTCTTTAACTGCTAATGATCACAAACATTGCAAGTATTTATTCATGATTTTTGCCCATTTTTAAATCAGACTGTTTGTCTTTTTGATGTTGAGGTGTTGGGATTTTCTATAAATTTTAGAGATAAGTCCCTTCCTTGTCAGGTATGTTGTTGTCAAATATTTTTCCCCAATCTGTAGGTTCTGTTTTTACTTTTTGGAGAAATCTTTTGAAGCACATAAAAATAAATTTTAGAAGGCCCCAATCATCTAGTTTATTTTCTGCTGTTTGTGCATTTTGGGCTATACTTGATAATCTACTTATGCCATAAATTAGGGCCCCTAAATTTGCCTCTATTTTTTCCTTGATGAACTTTGTAGTTTTAAGTCTTTGATTCATCTGTAGGTTAGTTTTGTGTATGGTGTGGAGTATGAGTCTTGTTTCATTTTTCTGCAAATGGATATCCAGTTTTGCAGCACCATTTGTGAAAGAGACTATCTCTAACCCATTTAATGGATTTCGGACCTTCATCAAAGATCAGCTGATCATAGGTCGATAGATCCATTTCTGGGTTCTTAATTCTATTCTACTGGTCTATATGTCTGTCATTGTACCGATACCAGCCTGTTTTGCCCAATGTGGCTCTACAAGTTTTGAGATCTGGGAGCATGAGACCTCCCATCTTCTTCTTCTTTAACAATGCTTTGCTTATCCAAGGTCTTCTACCTTTCCACATAAAATTAGTGATTGGTTTTTCCATATCCTTAAAGAATGCTGATGGAGTATAGATTGGGATTGCATTGAATGTATAGGTTGCTTTGGGTAGTATTGATGTTTTCACAATGTCCTATCCATGAGCATGGTATGTTCTTCCATTTATGTTGATCTCTTATGGTTTCTTGAAGTAGTGTTTTGTAGTTTTCATTATGTACGTCTTATGTGTCCTGGTAAAATATATCCCCAGGTATTTTATTTTTTTGATAGCTCTGGTGGCGTAGTGCCTAAGGCATTTGACTGCTAACCAGAAGGCTGGCAGTTCAAACTCACCAGCCACTCCTCAAAAGGAAGGTTGGGCAATCTACTTCTGTAGAGATAACACTTTGGAAACCCAAGGAGGGGTAGCTATGAGTCGGATCCAACTCGATGGCAGCGAGTTTGGTTTTTGAGTTACCATAAACAGTACTGATTTCCTTATTTCCTTTTCAGCAATCTCTTTGCTGATGTAGAGGAATCTAATTGATTTTTTGTGTTGATCTTGTATCCTGCCACTATGTTGAATCTCTCAATTAGTTCCAGTAGTTTTCTTGCTGAGTCTCTTGGGTTTTCCATGTATAGGATATCATCTGCAACCAGTGATAGTTTTACTTCTTCCTTAGCAATTTGAATGCCTTTGATTTCCCTTTCTTGCCTTATTGCTCTGGCTAGGACTTCCAATACACTGCTGAATAGAAGTGCTGATAGAGGGCATTCTTGTTGGGTTCCCATTCATGAGGGGAACGGTTTCAGTCTCTCTCTGTTACAAATAATGTAGGCTGTTGGTTTTGTATATATGTCCTTTATTATGTGAGGAATTTCCCTTCTAGTTCTATTTTTCTAAAGAGTCTTTATCAGAAGTGGGTGTTGGATTTCATCAAATGCCTTTTCTACATCGATTGACATAATCATGTGGTTCTTTATTTTACTTACGTGATAGATTATGTTGATTGTTTTTCTAATGTTGAACCATCCTTGCATACCTGGTATGAACCCCACTTGGTCATGGAGTCTACTGGCTAGAATTTTGTTGAATATTTCTGCATCTATATTCATGAGGGATATTGGTCTGTAGTTTTCCTTTTTAGTGATGTCTTTGCCTGGTTTTGGTATCAAGGTTATGCTTGCTTCATAAAATGAATTTGGGAGGATTCCATCATTTTCTATGTTCTGGAATAGTTTGAGTAGGATTGGTGTCAGTTCTGCTCTGAATATTTGGTAG